TCCTGATCGAATACCTCCTGATACCTCTTGTATCTTCATGTGCTCCTGCTACAAATCTTTAATTTTTGTGACGGGAGGAAAACGATTGAAACAACCGGGACATCTGGATTTCCATTGGAAATTAAAAAAACGTCAAAATTTTGATTGGAAGTTGCCATTGAAATACCTTTCGCAATATATATATATATATATATTTGTAACAAAATATATTGAAAAATGTTATTTAACATGTTTAAATTGAAAAAAACAAAAAGAATGTTGTCATTTGATTTTAAATATAAAAATATAAGAATCTAAATACATATAGAGAATAGATGATGATACCTATAAAAGAACCATTGGATTTTTTGATCACAGACAAGATATAATTTAATATTATGTTCTACAATATTTCTTGATTTTGGTTTTTTTTTAAATACAAACTTTACATTTGTTATGTGATTTGTCATCTGTTATATACATACATGACATGTAAAGTGTGACACACTGAATACAATAATAAAAAACATTTATGATAAACGTCATATTTTACATAGTAGGCATAATATATTCATAATATATCATATTTATTGATTACAAACAAGACAGAAGAAATATTATCTTTAATATATAATAAATAAGTTAAGAATTTGTCGATAAAATGTCTATGTTTAAACATCACAATATGTTTTTCCAATTAAATTTCATATACATATCACTACAATTATTGTGATCATAATATGATGCATCTAATGTTATATATTAATAATATATATATATGTTATGGTGTTTTAAACAAAATTAAATTATTAAATAAGATTTCTGAATGACATGACAAATTGATATGTATTTTATTTAACATTTTACTCAAATCTATGCAATTATTTTGCATGCATCATAAAATTGTATACAGCATATTATTATAAAATGATTTACTTGTTTGTTAACAAACTTCAATGAAAACTTTGAAAGATTCGATGTATTTGTATAATTATTAATGAATCAATTCATTAATAGATAATAAAATAGAATAAATTAAATTTTGCATAATATTTTTTAACAACAAAGTAAATAGATTATTAATATAAAAAGTAATGTGTAGTAATGTATAAATTCATTATTTTTAACAATAATCTTTAGAAAAATGCAGCACTGTCTTATTCTTCAATAATTGTTTTACAATTGATATAAATATGTATTATTCAATTTATACACAGATGGTATATATATATATATTATAACAAAAGAATTATTAACAAGAGAAATAAATAAATTATGATTAATGTAATATATTGAAAGAATTATTCAAATTTGATAGTAGTCTAAGATTTCTTATATCTAAATCGTTAAAGAAGCAGCAAGCCTTGAGACTAGAGCAATGATCTAAAAAAAAAAAAAAATAAAAAAAAAATTAAATAGATAACTCTTGATAGTTATCATCAATAATTACCAATTATTTGTTAAATAATTTTATGATACAATATTGAACAATACGTGGACAGAATCAATTATATAAACTATGATGCAGAAAACATGATTTAAAATATGGAATAAATGTAACAAAACTTTGATTAGTCAAATATCAGTTTTTAAAAACAATGAAGAACGTCTTGTTGTTCTTCATATATTTACAACAATGTTTAAATAGAGAAAAATGAATTGCAATCATATTATCGATATTTCATGAGAATACTCTATAAAATATTTCATATGTTCAAAACTAATTTCTTAATTATAAAGTATTTAGCATATAGTAAACACAGACACATTTGTATTGCACGTTAGACATTAAATCTAAAAAAAGATGTCGATATTTTTTTTTTTATTTTTAGGACATAAACATTGTATTATCTTTCTATTAAAAAAAAAAAAAAAAAAGAGAAAAAAAATCCATCGAAATTCATACATAAACTATTTGTACTTCTGAAGCAACGAAAATCTTATCAAAATGATGACAGATCAATCAGACAAAGAGAGTATTCTTATAAAAATTTAACTAATAATCTGATAGAGTCTGTCATTACAATAAAATACAATTATAACATTGTAAAAATTAATTCACTCTAATTATTGAAATAGTATATATATATAGTATTTTTGCTATTTACTAATAATATATAATATCAAGAGTGTGCGAATATAGGATAATATTGTCTGAGCATGTGTGAAACATCGACTAGTATTGCAGTTAATATATAAGATGAAAAACGTATAATCTTATTCTATTATATAAATATCCAATATAATTGGACAGTTCTGCTGAATTCATACAAATGACATAATATGATAGCCATAAGTATTTAAGAAAAACGACTGCAACCGCAACTATTAGTATCACCAATTGATGTAGTCTTTCCATTTATGGAAGTTGCATTTGTTTCGTATCTAGGTAATTCCTTACTGCGTGCTTGCTAAAAATGAAATATTACAATTTATCAATAAAGAACAAATAATATAATAATAATAAGAATAATAATAATACTTACATCCATAAGTTCGGCAGCAATTTCCATAAATAATCTTTCTACATTTTCTGCTTCTTTAGCTGATGTTTCTAAAAAGTACATTCCATGTCTTTGTGCAAAATCTTCACCTACGTGAGTTGGTATTTCTCTATCTTCTCGATCTATCTTATTACCTATTAATGATTTAATCATATGAATATAAATTCATAATCAATTTTATTCTTAATATATTATTGTATTGATATATTTTTATTATTTACCTACTAATATCCTTAAAACTTTGTTATTTGCATATTCTTCAATTTCTCTTAACCAGTCAGGTAAACAGTCGAAAGTAGGTTGGCATGAAATATCATAAACTAAAATCAATGCATGAGCAGATCTATAATAACTTTGAGTTATTGAACGAAATCTTTCTTGTCCAGCTGTATCCCAAATTTGTAACTGTAATGAAAACAAATAAATATTTAATATATATATGAATATATATAATCATACAATATACACAATGCATTGATACATTTTTTATTATATATAATATATGCATATATATCATATACATTTATATACATATATAATATATACATATATACATATATATATATATATATATATATACTTTATTTTTTATATTTAATTATGTGTACATGCAAACCTTGACTTTTTCATTTTCTACTTCCACAGTTTTAATCATAAAATCAACACCAATTGTTGCACCTTGACCTGGAGGAAATAAACCCTGTAAAAGAAACAAAGAAAAGATACATTTATATCAATAAATAGTTAATAATTTATTAACGAAACATTAATAATAATCGTAACATATGATACATGAATAGTAAATGGTCAGTAAGAAGTGAAATCATTTCTTTAATAGTACCGATGATGTCATACGTGAAACCTTTATGAAAAATCAACGAGACAAATAATTGAAATAAGAATAATTACCTGAGTAAATCTTCGTACAAGACAAGTTTTTCCAACGCCGGCATTGCCCACCAGGACAACTTTGAAAAGAAATTTGTAGTCCTCCATCACATTTGCACCGTAGTTTATCCCAAAACGGTTTTACAAAAGTGAGTCTACCTATACATTTGCAAACACAACACGCGCACTTTCTACACTTTCAGATTACCTTGATGGTTACCTTCGAATTGCAACATACTTGGAGAAAGAATTTCACGATATCATCCACCCTTTTGATATCACGAATGAAAATTCATTACGAATATGTACAATTAATTGATATTGAATTATATTTCACTGTAGCGTTCTAATTCTATGCAAATCTAAAATACAAATGGTTAATATTTGTCTTACAACAGGTTTAGAACACTTGGCCATTCTGTCAAAACGATTATATTATCTATAGTTGTTATTATTACTAGATCACAATGAGCGCATTCTATAATTGCACATACAAGTGCATACACGAAATATGCACATAGGTATGCAATACATACTATACAAATATAAATGTATACATAACAGTTATAAATGTTTTCATTGGTTTATTATACTTAGATTGGATAAATGAAATTTACAATAGAAAGAAAACTAACATGCCTAATTGTAAAATAAGATATTTTAATTAATCAATTTTTATTGGGATCTGTAACATTTCAATACGCTATCTGGTGATTAAATGTAAAATTAGAATAGATAGGTGAAATTTTTTTGCTACGCCACGTGGGATCTGTAACACTTGAATACGCTATCTGGAAGTTAAATTCTAAATTAGAGTAGATAGGTCTAATTGCTTTTGCCACGCCCTTGCCAAAGATCCCAATATTATAACCAATAAATTTGATGCAATATTATTGGACAAATTATTTTCTATTAAAAATATTATGTGCAGTAAATGTAATATTAAAAATTAAAAATTATATATTAATTTGTATTATATTTAATAATTTATTTACATTTATAATGAGATCATTCAAATTTTTATATATTTTTTTTTTATTATTAATATAAAGTCACGTATTCATGAAAATATACTTTTCACTAGCATCGTAGTACAGGAGAAAGTATTTGAACTTTGGAACGATTGTTCTTATTGGTAGTAACAGCGCCTTCACTCGGTCGATTCCACCAATGAGCGTGCCGCTTATTTCATCGCGCAGTACCGTTACAAGATACAACAAAGGCACAAGGCAGCCATTTCAAGTCAAGCTCTTTCTGCGTAAGCATTAGTGTGCGTGTAATTTTCGCTAAAAATTTATACAAAATAATTTACCTCCGTAATGAATCTTTATTCAAAAATGCGTTAATAAGGTAAATTTCAATTAATATTACATGATATTAAAACAAGAGTTTCTATAATAAACGGAAAAAAATAATTGTTTCAATTGTCATTAAAATTTGTTACACGGGCGTTAGGAAATCCAGATGCGTGATATGGTTCATTTTATATGACGAATGTTTCTCTCGCGTTTGTAAAATCCGAATTTGTGTTAATATAATAAAAACGTGAAAATTTGAACAATATAGTGAAAGTAAAATTGATTATTTTCAAACAAATAATCGATATAAAACCATTGATGGAAATTCATCAAAAACCAAGGAGTTCCAGATATTACATAAATAGAGATACTATTGTGCTAATTTCTGTTTCGAAGTTGATGATATCAGGCGTCGTCGTCGTCATTTTTTGATGAAATAAATGATCTTAAGAAAATAGTTAGATTTTTGTTTGATCTATCTGAAAAAATAGTGTGAAAGTGATATTTTCTTACAAACAAACAAAAATAGAAGATATGAAAGTGCATTAATGAATATTATTTAACCAACAATTGCATCATATATCTATATGGCAATATATTTGGATGGTTTAATGCTTTTGTAATAATTGATTTATGAATTAATATTCATATACTAACCAATTAATCAAGAAGGTTATTTTTCATTAGTGCATTTCATAAAGAAAAGAAAAAGAAAAACAACTTTGTGTCAATTGTGCAGAAGATCTCATTTACAAACTGTTTTGACATTTTATATATATATATATATAGATATAGATATAGATATATATATATATATATAAAGTAAAAAATAACTAAGTCATAAATATAATTAACAGTATTATATACATATCATTACATTTTTCTGTTGTGTTTTATTATACTATAGTGCAGTAACTGTGATTATTTGGACAAGGAATTGGTGCATTTATTTATTGGCATCTCATCAAGATGACATCCGCAAAGTCTAAAGAAATAGCTGATGAGTATATCTCATCGCTGTCTGATCTTACGATTAACAGCAAGCCGCTTATCAATATGCTTACTATGCTGGCAGAGGATAACGTTGAACATGCACCTGCAATCGTCCAAGCTGTTGAAAATCATCTTCAAAAGGTTACTTATATTTTGTAGTTACTTTAAGAAAAAAAAAAAGAAAACATAACCAAAAAACATATTATTTTAAAATTCAATACTTAAGTCAAACATTCTTGTAATGTTAACATTATATTTTCTATTTTATATTTTTGAGTATAACCTATAATCACTGTATATCCATTTGTTGTAATTCATGCTTACTGTTATGTCATGAATAATTAAGATAATTCAATTAATCATTTAAGATACTACCAATGTTCTTCTAATTAGAAATTTTATACAAATTATCTACACATTGATAGATCTCTTGTATACAATTTTCATATATTGCTTACTTTTTCATTGAATAATAATACAATTATATGAATCTACTTAATTATTAATCCAATTCCATGTTGTAAAACATTTATATCATTTTGTACAACAACTAATTATTTAGTACATAATTAGTTTAACAAATTTTGGTTCTTATCATCCATTTGGTGTTTACGACAAATGGATATATAGTGTGTTTTGCAAATATTATAATTTGCTTTTTAATTCATATTTCAATATAAATATAGTAATACATTAGTATTCATATGCATATGTAGTAGTACAACAGAGATAAAGATACAACATTTTTTATAATTTATACAATAATATTGTATTATTAATATATGTATGCATTTTAGAATCATTAGAACAATTGCAAGATCATAATATATATTTTTCATAGTATATAGTATATATATATATATATATGTATATAGAATACATATTCTATGTAATATTTTCATATTCATAATATATTATTTTCTGTGATCATTTTTTCTTGCAAAATTATGATTAAAGTATTTGAAAAGCGTTTTTATTATAAATGCGAATAAAGTTTTGTAATTTTATAATTAACATTATTATTATTGCAATTATTAGGTTATATAAAAAAAATGTTAGGTTACAATGAAAAAAAAAAAGAGATAAAATAATTCAAATTTTATCTTATAAATGCGACAATGTTATTTATGTATACGAGATATATATGAGTTTAATATTTATCTAACATATTAATTAAGAAATAAAATTATATATATATATATATTTTATATATATATATATAAAAGTCAGGTTACTGTGATAAAATGAAAGAATGATGTTTTTGTGATATTATTTAAGTATTATGAATATATACAATGCTAGCATGAAAATAAAATACTGTTTTATATTATTCACCTCTACGATGCTATATATCATTTTATTGTGAATATATTTATTTATGTCTCGTCTTTCTACGTTTTATAAAGTCATTTTAATTATAATTGCAGATCATTTACAAAATTCTATACATAATCATTAAAGTGTGATCATTTATAGTACACATTAATACGAATGCATTATTCAAATGTTTCAATTTAGGCCACGGTGATAATTATATATATATATCAAACATACATTTACACATTTATCACATACACCTAGACTTGTCAATAAAATCTGTATATTTAATTAGTATTATCATCTTGTAGTATATTCTCAATACATTTTTAACATTGATCAACTTTATAAGATATTTAACACTGTGACTGCGATATCGAATTGATTCAATGAAATCACTTTGTATTTCAAAATATATTCTAATTAATAGTAATATTCAAAATATAGTAATTGTACATTTTCATTCATCATTTACATTACATTCATTCATTATTTACAATTGTAAATAATTCCAATTCCTTCAATCACCGTGGCGTATCATAAGAGCAAACCATAAGTCAATCATATAAGATCAACATAGCAGTCAAAGTGTTAATGGATTGATTTATTTTATACTCTGTTTAATATCAAAACTTATGAAAATAATTTCAAAACACACAATAGAAACATAGTATGTTATATTTTTAATAGGTGAGGAGTGATATAAAGTTACCTGTACTTTACCTCATCGATTCGATTGTGAAGAATGTAAATGGAACTTATCTAAATCTCTTTACTCAAAATATTGTCAATACATTTTGCGGAGTTTTTGAAAAGGTAATGTTGTCTATTTCATTTTGATTGATTTTTATGTTTAATAGTAAAATTAGAATAATGTATGTATACTGTGATTTCAATGTTATTTTTATAATTTAGAAAAACACATCTTTTATATGTTTATATTTAGAAAGAGAGAGAGATTACATTTTGCTTAAGAAATACAGGAAGTTAAAATGTACTTTCTCTCTTTATAAACTTCTATATTCAACTTCATCAAAGTTTCTCAAGTATTGCAAATTTTATGATACTATAAGATAATGGTTTCATCAATATGGCATTGAACTCACAGTGTAATACGAAAGGCTTAACATGAACTCTTACACACTAAGGTGTAACATTTAGTAGAATGTGATATTATAAATTTGATCATTTTATTTGATTTTATATAATGTATAATAAATAAATAAAAATTCATATTTGAATTATTAATAATAAGCTTGTATTTACTAATAATTTGTATAATGGTTTAGGTGGATGAAAATACTAGAGCTAGTATGTGGAAGTTGCGACAGACATGGAATGATGTATTTCCTGCAAAGAAGTTGTTTTCATTAGATGTACGAGTACAAAGTATTGATCCTGCTTGGCCAATCACTGCCTCACCTACAAGTATATCTTCAGGTTCCATCCATGTAAATCCCCGTTTTTTGACTATGGTAAATCTATTAAACATATAAGATTATATTATATATATACAATTATCATTTTTTATTGAATTTATTTATTAATTAAAATCATTGTGTTTATTTTGTAGCCTCAACAAACGGCAACTTCAATAGTTCAACCAATTGTATCTCCAGTTAAATTACCACCAGGTGATCCAGTAACTGCTACTGAAGCTGTTATGCGAGAACAATTGTTAAAAAAGCAAAAAGAATTGTTAGAATTGCAAAAGAAAAAAATAGAACTGGAATTACTTCAGGCCAAAGCTAGTTTGGAACAACAACAGAGGCAACTTGACAAACAAGCTGGAAGTTTGAAAACAGAGATAGTAAGTTTGAATGAAAATTAAACCTATAATGTGTTTTTATTAATTTATTAAAATGAATAATGTGTATATTAATTCAATCTCATTTTTATAGATTGTGCCATCAACGACTGTTAGCTCAACTACAGAAAATACTACTCAAGGAAAACCTACAACATCTGTTGTATCAAATCCAACCCCAAAACAGGTTACAAAACAGGTAAGTTTATTTTGAGATATATATATTAAGATAGTAGACATGTTTCTCTTTTATTTCATAAAAATGTAATCTAATTTTCATTTAATTTTATAGTTCCCAGCTGCAGCTGCATCACTGTTGAAAAATGCAGGCACAAATAATGGTCCACGAATTGCACCAGCGAGTAGTATAGCAATAGCGTCTGCTAGGCCAATGTCTCGTGATCCTCGTTTGAAGACTGCAACCGTTCAGGAGGTGACAACCGCGGATCCGCGACAACGACAGGGTACGACCGGCCAAAAGGAGATCCGGGGTGGTGAAGGCCAAACTCAGTTAGCGCCAAATATAAACACTGTACTTTCAGACCAATTAAAACAGCAATTACTTTCGAAACAGGCTGTGACTAGCACTATCAACAAGCCTCCGACAAATCTTGCCGGCTCCGATACACAAACGATAAACGCTAGTAATAATAATGCTAATACGAACCTCAACAATAATAATAAAAGTTTCAGTGGTAACGCAAATAAAGATGCTATCTCGCATCGCACAAGTCAAAAGAAAGACCCTCGATCATCGTCTAGTAATAGTAGCAATAACCCAAACAGTAATTGCTCCAAAAGTGCCCAAAATTTATCAGTCAATAGCAGTTCTTCGAATTTGTCAGCAAGTAATAGAGGAGGTGGAGGAAGTGACATTAAAATAAAAGACACGAAAAATTTAAGTTCTCGAAGCTCTTCGTCGTCTACGATTGATAAATCTTCCACGTCCTCTAAATCTTCATACAGGAAAATAGGTAACAAATCGCGTTCTAAGCAACCTTTATCGTCCCCGAGTAAGGTTCCGAAAATCGACAGAGATTCCAGTCCAATTAGGTCTAAATCACGTGAAAAAGACAGTGGAGATAGTTCACCATCTTCACGTACCTCTCCTCAGTCCTCTTTCCAAACTTCGAAAAATCGCAAGAAGATTAAATCGAGAAAGCGCAGTCCAAGTTCCCCATATAGAATACCCCGTCGTAACGATACAAAATCGAATTCAAGCTTAAGCAGTTCAGGTGGTGTTACTGAGGAGGAACAATCTGGTTCATTAATAGTATCTCCTCCTCATCCACCTACATTTAAAGAAATCAGACCAAACGCTAGACAAAGAAATTATGTACGCCGAAATAAGGATGATAGTCTTAGTCCAGAACGTTCACCTGTTAATTCTGGGAACGTTCAAGTTCCTGCGGAACCAACACTGGAATCGTCCAGTAAAGATGAAGACCTCAGAGCTACGTTGCCCCTTCCTGGTACTAATACAACCGTTGCTGAAAAGAGTAAGTCTATATACTGTGATCAATTATTTTTTATCATTAATTATAATTTTCAAACGTTTGTATTTTTCTTACACACTCGATATTATTACACTCATCTAAATTATACCTTGTGTAACATAAAATTAATTTTTATTACCAAAGTATAATTATATATATATAATGCATATTAAAGATATCTGCGAATTTACTGATATAATAATAATAATAATAATAATAATAATAATAATAATAATAATATAAATTAATATATATATATTTTATTTTACAAGACAAAGCGTTTTTAATGCGAGGCTTCTTGAGATTTCTACTAATCGCAATTTTCAACATTATCACCAATAGTAATAGTATGATATAAAATTGATGACAGAAATAAACAGAAACCTTAAAATTATTACGTTGTTACATTTTACGTTAAACTCCAATTGTTTTATTTTCAATCTTTTTTACAGAAGAAGATTTAGATCTTCGTGTCTTGCCACCAGTTAATACGAGTAAAAGACAAAGTAATGAACATTTGGATTCAACAGTAATTAAAAAATCAAAAGCTGAAAAGTTTGATGCGTAAGTAATTTTTCAAATAAATAAATGATTTTAAAACTGTGTCTGTCATTTAGAACAATTATTAATTTTTACTTTATTATTAAAAACAGATTATTTGGAAACGAAGATGTTGATTTAAGAACATTGACACATCCTAAAGCTGGTCGACCACCAACACCACCACCACCAGTAATTTCTGGAGAAAATGGCAAAGATAGTTGGGCTAAATTAAAAACTCCATCAAAGAATGAAAGAGAAAAACAAGTGAATAATAATGATGACAAACGTGATAATAAAGATCGTAATAGAGATAGACTAGGTCGCCTTAGACTTTACAATAAATTACCAGATGACCCTAAAGACAGACGAAGAACATTAAACAATGACGATCAAGATACTCGGCCTGGTCGAAGAGGACGTGAAAATGATAAACCTGAAAGAAATGAGGACCATAATATTGAAATAATAATGAAACAAGCTGCAGAACAACTTAATCAGGGATCAATTACAAAAACGCAATACAATACGTTAATTCAAGAAGTTTTACATATGAGTGAAGATCGAAAATTGAGAGCAGCACAGCGTAAAGAGAAAGAAGTAGGTTCTATAGTATGGGAAAAAGGAGTGACATTAGATATTAATACAATTGATCGTGGAGCTGCTTTTAGTCCAACGAAAGATAAAGAAGTAATAAGAAATAAGGATCATCCTATTCCTAGAAATCCAAATGGTCCACGATGGCAAGGCCAGCCATGGCAGCAACCAGGACCATGGGCTCATCCACCTGGTCCACCTTATGGTGGTCCTCAAGCACACTTTAATGCAGATTTTAGACCTGTAGGGCCTTGGCAAAATCCAAGACACTTTGGCCCAATGAGACCAGACTATCAGTATCACGGTTATAGCCACAATATGGCTCCCAATCCTCGATTAGGACCTGGTATGATGGGTCCAATGGGTCCTAATGGTCCTATCATGTCTAATCTTTTACCAAATGGACCAATGGGTCCGATGGGAAGTATGGCAAATCCTTCTTTGTCATTACCAGGTATAAATGGGCCTGGAATGATGATGAATAATGGACCAATTTCAAGTCTAATATCAAATCCAAATATACAATCTCTAACTACTGCTCGAAATGTTTCACCAAATACTACAACAACAAAATACGATCTTGAAGATGGTGGAGATCAAAATTATAATGCACTGCCGAAAAATCAATGTCCATACAGTCGTGAATTACCTCCACCAGACGCTCAATTATTGGATGACATTAGACGAGATACTATGAAATCTATAAATATAGATAATATTCCAAGAGAAATCAGATATTATGGTCAAACTGGTGTAGTTTTCATGAATTGGGATGATCCAAGAGAAATTGGATTCCAGGACGGTGTAAGACGAATTTTAATAGATGATAAAGATGTCATTTGTGCATTTAATGATCAATATAAAGAATTTATGTTTGATGGCGAAGTTCATAGGTAATTATCTCTCTACAAAATAAATGTTATTTAATAAACCACCACCCCTTATATTTAAATATTATTACAATCATATAATATAATAATCTATGTGTTTTTACAGAATAAAATTAGGTGCTCCGACAAGAGAATTGTATATAGATGATCGTTGGTACGAATGTTATTTTGGTGGAATGCCAATAACTATAGAGCTTGGTGGTAAACAAGTAAAAGTTAAACTAGAAGGTCCACCGCCACAAGTAAAGATTGGTACAGTTAAAAGGACAGATTTAGTAGTAGCTAAAATTAATCTCATAATTAATGCTAGAAATATGGTACCTGTCTTTTTGGATGCAAAACCACAAATGTAAGTAATTTCAAAATGATAACAAATAAGACATATTCAAACAATTATATACATATATATATATATATATGATATTAATTTATAACATTATTTTTATAGATTTGAAATTGAAGGCAAAGCTCATACATTAGAATTCATAGACGCCCTACAGACGGTACTTTTAAATGGTCGTCCATTTAAAGTTGAATTTGGAGGATTACCTAAGCCCGTTGTTGTAAGAGATAAAAAACATTTCATAAGATTTTCTGTTTTACCGAGAGGTATTCGCGCTGGATACGTTAAGATAGCAGGAATGAGAGGCGAAGAACCTATCGAAGCACCATCAACTCCCCCACCTTTGGTTAATCAAAAATCTAAAGTTGATGCTACACCTGCTCCTACTCAAGCACCATCTTTAGAACCCGAATCTACGTCTCAAGATGGTTCTGATCTCAGATCTACACCTAAACCAGGTAAGTATTATTTTTCATTTATTTCTTTCTATCTATTATCTGTTTGTTTCTTCAACGGACAGCTATCTATGTAGAACGAATCGTAAGTACTTTTATTATTTCATTCCTATTATAGTAATTAATCAATCGATTACAGATTTACAATTGGACATTCTATCATCTGTTCTACCATCTGCAATGGCACCATCATCTGGTTTGTCTTATCAAGCAGAACCAATTGAAAATCCACCTACGACAACTCCAGCTTTACCATTGTCATTAAATATGAACGAATTATTCCAGCGTTTAGTTGAGACTGGTATTGTACCAAATATTTCAGAGAAAAAGAAAACTGAAGAAGAAGAGAAAAAGGAACCAGAAATCACACCAGTTTCATTCGATAAACCAGAAACGCTTAAAATGTAAGTATTAATATTATCTCTACATTTATTTTTTGTTATTTTGATTTTGATTTGAAAAAAGTATAATCAAATATTTATTTGTATCTGTACATTTACAGAAAACAACCGGCAATAGCTGCTGCTTTGTACAGTGGAATGCAGTGTAGTTCGTGTGGGGCAAGGTTTGCACCTGAATTAGCAACACGATATAGTCATCATTTAGATTGGCATTTTAGACAAAACAGGCGTGAAAGAGATACTGCAAGGAAAGCACATTCACGACCTTGGTATTATGATGTTAGTGATTGGATACAATTTGAAGAGATTGAGGATCTTGAAGATAGAGGTAAATATTTATATCATAGATATTTTGATTTAATTAAAATACGACTTTGCCATTAGTAATTAAATCATCAATATCATTTTTATTATACTTTTAGCTCAAAGTTGGTTTGAAACTGAAAAACAAACAGCTGAAACAGAAGGTATTTCTACTGAAGATATACCACAAGAAACTCAACAACCAAGTGTTCCTACTGGTTCTGATGAAGATTCTAGATGTCAAGTTTGTCATGACGCTTTTGAACAATTTTACAATGAAGAAAAGGAAGAATGGCATTTAAGGCCAGCTATTAGTTACGAAGAGAAAAACTTCCATCCACTTTGTCTTGAAGATTTTAAGGTATGTGTATCTATTTCATTATTTTATATATTATATATATATATACTTTTTCAGTTACACGTGTCTAAAAAGACGATGAAATTATATATTGATGTAATATTTTATTAACAAATTTTCTGTTTGTTGCATTCGTACGAAATAGGAAAAAAGTCTTGTGGTATGTGCTTCTTAATTAATATTCATATGTTGCACTTCCTCAAGTGTTTTTAAATCATTTGTAGAAATAGAATGGACAGTCTATAAGCCCTGACCTTGACATAATAGTATACAAAGCATCATCATCTTTTCTTTCTTTCTTTCTTTCTTTCTTTCTCTTATGTTTTTACCACTTCGTATTTTACTTTGTGCATATGTGAAGTGTTTTACACTTTTATATGACAGATAAATGCACTGCCAAAATTATAGATGAAAGTATAGAACAGTATATATCCAAAACTTTTTTTTATTAAGTTTGATTGAATGACAAAATCTGTTTGTTTCTTCATAAGAATATCAAATTGATTTTTTTTTTTTTATTTAATCTAGTATATATATTTCTTTTTAATAAACATGATTTCTAAATTCTTTACTTTCGTCTATCTTAACTATTATATTTTATATAATTGATTTTTAAAGTATTATTAACTTCTTCTTCTTTATTAATCTTGAATGAAAATTGTTCAATATTTATATAGGATGGTAATAAAGGGATTTTATAATATTTTACCATCCTGTATTTCATATTTAACAGCAATATAAAAATATTATATTTTAATTATTATATATGTTAGTGTTATACAGTATTTAATTTAATTAAATCATGGAAAATCCTATATTTTATCTGAAATAACTAAACATATAAAAAGAATATATATATAAACAACGTTTTAGAAAATAAATAACGCTAACATATATATATATTATATAATATGTGATATAAATCCTAATGTATATAATAAATGCAGGTACTTTTTAGATTAAAAGGTAAAATACACTACATTTCTTATTACAGGATATTTGTATCGTATATATAAATTATTATTGTGATTTTTATTTGTATCTAACTAAAAAGAAAGTGTAAATTATTTAATAATTCATATAATTAATCATTTGTTCTTGTTGTTTTTCATAACTATAGAGAGCACTGGAAAAAACTGCATTGGCACTTGAGGAAACAATTGGAGAAATGGAAGATGAAAAGAAAAGTGCTATAGAAGAATCTGTTTTAGAAGAATCTATTTTAGACGATGATATTCAAATTCAAGAATCAACGTTAGAAAATATTTTTGTTGAACAATCAATTGAATCTATTGAACCAGAAGACACAGTGATATCAGAAGAACCGAAAACTTCTGAACAAGAAAATGTTGATGATTCAATAGTAGGTTTAGAAAATGTGGAAACTGAACAAAGTGAAGAAATGAATAAGGAAATTATTGAAAATACGAATAATGATAAAGTAATTACGGAAGAATCAGAAAACGTAGATGTACATTTGCAAATGGATGGAGAAAAATCACCAAATGAAGTAATCGAAAGTAATTCAGTAGAAAATAATTTGTTTGAAAATATTAAAATCAAAGAGGAACCATTAGATGAAATGGAAGAACAAGTTGAAGAACAATTTGACTTTACTAATGTAGAAGTTAAAGAAGAACCTGCAGAACTTGAACCAGGTAAATATTTATTCTTAAAAATATGATTTTTTCTTTATAAAATTTGTGTTTGTTATTAAGTTGAGTAGTTAATGAAAAATGTTTTATATTATTAGATCCAGAAGAGAGCATAATCAGTGAGCCAGCTACAGTAGACACAACTTACGCAGCTGTAAAAAGTTCTATCGATGGAAATGTGGAATTGGATTCAACTCCAGCAACATTACCAGCAGCCCCGTCTCGTATAAAAATAAATATTACGAAACCTTTAAATACTGTGAAAGAACCTGAAGAACCAAAGGAAAAACAAATTGTTGAACCACAAGTTGAAGAAAATACAGAGCCTTTAGTGCCTGCTTCTATTAAACCCTCTTTAATTGGTAGAAAATTGTCTACCTTACCTCCTGTAGAAAAAGGGCAAGAACTTTCTGGACTCTGTTGTATAATGTAAATAGTAATTGTAAAATATTTTACGTGAATTTGTGCAAACGTGGGTGTTTGTGTGATGAGATAAGTATGCGTTTGCGAATAAGACATTTATTAGTTTATTCATAAAACTATTTAATGTTAAGTTTCGCGTTATTGTATATCACCGTTTTTGTGATTCGTACGACATGATGTTAAATGTTCGTTCAAAATATTTAGATATTCTATACTAACGTACAATAATGGCTAACATCTTCAAATGTTTATTCATGATTTTTTTTTTCTTTCTTTCTTTCTTTCTTTCTTTCTTTTATATTTTCTCTTGCGTTTAACATTTATTATTTTACGTTCAAATCTTAATACTATGTGTATTAAACACTCATAATTATTTTTCATTTATTACTGTTGATTATAAAATGAAAAGAAAACAAAAAAGAAGAAGAAGAAAAAACATCACGTCGTAAGGATTACGATTACTTTGTAAAATGTATGCAAGTATGAATGTACCTGTGAATATTTGCTGTTATATGTTAAGTATGAAAGGAAATGGTATTTGCATGTGAATGATGCAAGTGGATGATAATGATTGAAATGAAGTAAATAAGGTGATGTAGCATTCCTACTAGTATTTGAGTGCAATCACAATTCGTGACATCTCGGAGAATAAAAAAGAAAAAAAAAAAAGAAGAAAAAAAATGTCACGAAGATTTACGATGGTCTGCACAAGACTTATTGAGAATTTCGTACTGTTTGTACTTTATAAGCTATACAAATTCTTGCGTAGGTTAATTTATAAGTTTACTATTAGCTTAAGAGGTGCTTTGTAAAACTCTATACATACAAATTATCATTGCACCTAAACACACAGGATTATTTATAAAGAATCGAATTTGCCCGAATCAATTGTTAAAAAAAATGTACAAATTGTGTGATATGTGATTGATTGTCTGTTGCATTGTACATACTTTCAACAAAGAAATGATCACTAAGAGATTAGATAAGATACAAAAATTAGTACTAGAGTCATTATTTTGTTGTATAAAAGAAGAACTTGTTGATTATTCGGGTTTTCACTTCCTTTTTTCGTTACTTATTATCCTATAGTAACCTCTATTAATATCCTTTATAATATAATAACCAGTTGCAGCGTAATTAGTGATTTGAATTTTTAGCCATATCTAGGAAAGAGAGAGAGAGAGAAAGAGAGAGAGAGTGCTTTTGGAGAAATAAATAAAATAAAAATAAGGAAAATGCTACAAAAAGTTAGTCTAATTTAGTTGATGAAAATCTCACTACTCAATAAAGACTTTTTTTAAAAATATAAAAATTGATTTGTTACGTTTCGTCTCATATTCCATTTCAAATTTTCTATTGCGTTTAGAAATAAATAATACTTATTTTAGATTTGTTTATGTAATCTTACATATTATGTAAAAGTCTAATATTATTAATGGACATTAATAAAAAAAATTTTCAAAAAAAAAACAAAATTACGAATATAACAATTAATTATAAGTGAACCTTACATCAATTCAAATTTCTTTTTTGCATGTAATGATTGATAATTAAAAAAAAAAAAGAAAAAAAAAAGTATGAAATTCTCATTTTCAAATGCATCATTGAATGTTATCCATTAATATAAATATTCATTTGTATCTTTCAAAACATTTTTACCATTTTCTTTTTAATCCTGGAAAATTGTTTGATAGTTGTTATTATTATGTAAAAAGTAAATCAACACAATCCTGTAAATTTTATTCATAAACTGCAATTATGTGGCCATCTGGGAAAAGGAATTGTATCTTTTATATTTGTTATACCCAAAAGACACTGCAAATATCTTTCAAAACCCATCCCAAAACCCCCAGTGGGTACATTTCCATATTTACGTATTTCTAAATACCATGATAAATTATGATTAGAAGGTAATTTTAACTTTAATTTTTCATAATCATCTTCGCGAATGCTTCCTCCAACTAATTCTCCAACAATTGGTACTAAAAGATCCAGTCCTGCAACCTTTTAATGAAATTTATAAATCCGAAGACAAATAATATGTTATATAATTACATTTTGTTTTAATAATTAAAATATTACTTACTGTATTAGTTATACATTATCTTACCTTAGATGAATCATTTGAACATTCTTTCATATAAAAAGGTTTACCCTCTTTTGGCCAATTTATGACAAAAACAGGAACATTATTATTATGTTTTACTAAAAATAATTCATGTTCTTTGGATAATGCATCTCCATATTTGATAGGATGCTGTAATTGAACTACATGATCATTTAAAATATTTACTGCTTCGTCATAAGTCATATATCCAAATTTACAATTCAACCATTGTGGTTCAACAGCACCAATATAATGAAAATCAGAAGGATTTTTATCAAACATATCTTTAGTTACTGTTTTCATTAAAAGTTCAACTTCTTCTGTTATATCTTCAATATTTGAAACAAAAGCTCTTTCAGCTTCTATCATATAAAATTCTGATAAATGCAATCTTGATTTAGAATTTTCAGCTCTAAATGTAGGTCCAAAGGTATATACCTTTGAAAGAGTTCTGAAAATATCTTAACGTGTATACAATCCTAAGAATTGTAATAACAATAATAATAATAATAATAATAATACATCATTTATAGTTTCAATCACCTTGCGAGTACTTCTAACTGTAATTGTCCAGATACAGTTAAATATGCTTTAGAATTGAAATAGATTTCGTCTAATGACATACCATCTTTTTTCATACTGTCAAGTATTTCTTTGGAATCAGGTTTAACCGTAAAAATTTCACCTGCACCTTCGCAATCATTAGAAGTTATTATTGGTGTATGAATATGTATGAAATTTCTATTTCTAAAATAATTATTAATAGATGCAGTAGCAACATCACGTAATCGTAATAAACTACTGAATTCTTGTGTTCTAGGCCTAAAGTGTAAATATTGTCTCAAGTATTCTGCATTATAAGGTTTTTTTGGTGTTATTGGATATCCTTGAGTAACGTCACATGTACCAATAACGTATGCCTCATTAACTTGTAATTCCAATCTACCATTAGGTGCTAAACCCAATACACCTTCAGCATCAATGCTACTTCCATATGTTAAATTATTTGGTTTAGAAGATTTAGGTATAACAACCTGGAGCATTTCATTGGTTGATCCATCATAAACATCACAGAAAATGTTATTCTTCATTTTTCTCAGTGCATACACCCATCCCTGAATAAAAAATGCTACATTTCTTGTCTATTAAGAATATTTTTTTAAAAGTAATATTAACTAAAAAAAAAAAAATATATGAAGAAAGAATTGTTTAAATGTTAGAATGATTGATGAATCAAAAGTTCTTAATTAATAACAAATTTCATTATAAAAGACAATAATTAAGAACATATACCAATGGGAGGGAAGCTAACCTGTACTTTTGTACTCTTTCCAACTGGTTTCTCCAAAATGATATCTGAAATTCTTGAAAAATTACGCGCATCGTGTTTAAGAAGATATTTTTGTATAAACAATAATCGTTTAAACATATTGAAATAAAAATATCTCCTGAATTAGAATCACAATAAAAGTTCAATTTCTTGTTCATTTACACATATGCAAGTACAAAATGGAGTACTATGTAATTTAGTTATACGATTGATATATGAACAGTAGATACCAGATGGAGCTGTAAAAAATATATTGAGGAATTTTCCATTAATAATAAAATAATCCATGTTATTATAAAAGTTTATTTATAACAATGATACAATCAAGATACAATACAATCATAATAAACAAATAACAAAAATGCGTAATTATAATATGAATGAAACATACATTTTATTAATGGGCGGGGGGGGGGGTTAACTGAACCCCAACAGGTAGAAAGTGGTGATGGGTGGGGGAAGGATAAACGAAAGGAATCAAGCGAAAGTAGCCGACTATAAACGAATAAATCCGAACAAAAGAAGCAATTTCAAGCACGTTCGGCATATGAAGGTAACTTCATGAGGAAGAATATTCTCGGTGCTGTGCGTTGTTAAATCAATAACGTCCGCGTTGTGTTATTTTATTTTTTTCGACAAATACGGATAAATTATTATTTCCGCGTTGTCGTAGTGCTTAAAGCATATTAGTAATACAAAAGTAATATCTTAATCTTTGATTTTGTTTTGAAAACAATTTAATAAAAAAAAAATGGCGGTTACAAGTGACGCGCTACATAACACAATGATGGCGTCTTTTGTATCATCTAGCGTTTATCACGGTTATGTTCCTCTTTTGCCAAAAGAAAATATGTTGAGTTGTAAAAACGAGTGTAACAATAACATCAGTGTACCTAGTACCACGAGTAACCATAATAGTTCAGCTATGGAAACGGATGAGGGATATGACTATTCTGCGGCGTCATGCCGTTTGAATAACGATTACGTGATTCCAGAGGCGTCGTCGAGGAGGCTGCACGAGGTTGAAAATAAACAGCAATCCTACTGTTTATTTACAACGGATCAACAACAGGCGGTCTATGGCGCCGACGCGGTGCGAAGTAGGAACCGGAAACGGTTCTATAACAATAGCGGTTCAGCGATAGAAATTAAAAGATTCTGCTCAGGTAGGAAAGATATATATCATTGGGAATCTCAAGCAACGAGTACGTTTCATAATTTAATAACTGCTTGCACGTTAAGTAATATAAGAAGGAACATGCATATATATTCATCAGTTTAATCAAATCTAGTCAATGCTTCTTGTTTCAATTTTTATTCGTATCTAGTTCAAACGATTCTTGGTAGAGGTCTCTGTTCAATTCAATTTGACCTAAGCGCGGGAAATAATTTAAACAGTAGAAGTTTGTTAGAAAATATTAATATTTATTATTGAAAATATTTGACTATTTTATTCATTATAATATGACGTCAAATTTGTATAATAATACATTTTTGCACATTTTTTATATTATTTGCACTTAAAATTACCTATGTATATATGTATACATAAGTATAAATGATAACAAAATACTTATGCACAATCAAATTTTGAACGTCTCTATTACGGTTTATAAATAATTTTGAAAAGGAAAAAATAAAATATCAAATTAGCTTTCGTTTATGGGCTACTGTATTTACATCTGACTACAGATATTTGCAGTTGACCCCGACATTTATTTTAAAACCTGTTGCATCCTGTCTTCTACTTTACAGTGGGTAAATGTTATGTGGTGGAAAAAATAGATGCAAAATTTTTTCATAACCTTGTGAAACTATTAATATGTTTGGTCTTTTTGTACTGGTAAGGATACAATCTACTGATGCAATGGATGGCATAGGAGATTACTAATAAAATGAGTTGATAAGTTAGTGGGTTTCGTTTCAGAGGCAGCTGCGTTAACAATGGTACAGGGAGTGCAAAGAAGGACTATGGATTGACCATGATGCATTCTGAGTCAACGTCATTAAACTTAAATTCCATCAACGATAAAACCTTGGATCATTCCTCGGTTATAACTGAAAGCTGCTGCGGGGCAGCAGGTAATCATAGTTTAATATATAATCCAGATTATAGACAATTATCATCAAGCAATGGTACTGAGTCTAGTGACAGCAGTGTGGAACTTGGGGAATTATTGTTCGAGACTCATGGATGCACTATGTATCATCATTACAGACAACAACAATTAG